ACAACTCCAAAGCTATAAACGTCCGCTTTGTCGGTTAGATAACCCCACAGTGCATATTCAGGTGCCATATATCCTCTACAATCAAGACGAGAAGAGTAATACGAGTATATGTAAGGTAAAAAGGTAGAAATCACTGTTAAATCAATATTTGTATAAACGAGTCAAACTCACATTGTTCCAGCAACTTTTGTGCTAATATGAGTCTTCTCGTCTTCGTTAAGCCTAGCCAATCCGAAGTCCGATATTTTCGGATTTAGATCTCTATCTAGCAACACGTTAGTGGCTTTAATGTCTCTGTGAACTATTTTGAGCCTTGATTCGTCGTGAAGAAAAGCTAATCCTCGAGCAATTCCAATACATATCTTGAATCTTGTTGGCCAATCTAGAATTAATTGGCGGCTTTCCTCTGAATCTGAACATTATCCGACACCAGAATGAAGCCAGCTAATATCATCGGCAGAAATTGAAATGCAAACGATATGTACTATATAAGCAAACGCTTACTGAATAAAACTTGAGCAAGGCTATTATTTTCCATGTACTCGTACACGACCAGCAATTGATCTCCTTCAATACAGCATCCATGCAGTTTGACGAGATTTGGATGTTGTAAACACGAAATCATGCCAATCTCATTCAGAAATTCACGGTTTCCTTGCCTTGATCTAGATGATAGCTGCTTCACAGCTATTACGGTACCATCAGATAGTTGACCCTGCACCAATTCGTTAATCAGAAATCTATGACTAAGGAAGATGGAATTAATAATCTTTCACCAAAAACAATACCTTGTACACAGAACCGAAACCACCTTCTCCGATCTTGTTTGTAGCATCAAAGTTGTTAGTGGCAGCTTTAATTTGTTTCAAACTAAAAGCTACAGTTTGCAATTCTAGATCTTCAAAACCTGCCCAATAAATAAATCAGTGAGGTGAATGTCCCATGGTGTCAACATAATCCTTTGTTTATTCATTTTTGCATTTTCCAATAAAAAAAAAAAAATCTTAGAAGTAAAGAAAGTTTGTACCAAAAAAGTCAAGAAACAAAGAACCTGCATTATAACACATATCGAATACAGAAAATTAAAAGAAAAGGTATAATGTACGAGAACTGAATGGATTTTGACTCAACAGATCCATTAAACTAAAACATTCGACTTGATTGATATAAGTAAATAGCTTATGACTCAACAAATCTGCTTATGTTTACATAATTAAAAGTATCACCTTTTCTGGCTTGTTTTTTCCCTCTCAAATAGCCTTTCCACCAAAGGATGCCAAGTATCATGAAAAAAGCGAATGCTGACAAAACTCCCACTATTATATAAGCAGTTACAATCTTTTTGCTTCCATTCGAACAAATTCTGAAATCTGCTGGGAGAAAAACAGAAGTTTGTGGAACAAAAATAGTATAAGTGAAAGATATATCTAACTTTCTTTAATTCATATGAAGTAGGTTATGCATATTTCCAACATTCATGCCTCAAATATAATATTGGCACCATGGCTACTACATTAACACAAGCAGGTAAAAAATAATAATAAATAAATAAATAAATAAATTTGCACTAGTTTGAGTATATTTTGGATCTGCCACTTTTTGAACGTATAGCGAATTTTAACTTACAAATGGGGTTTAACTAAGAGGCCAATTGTTAAGAAGGAAAAATGATTCAGTTTCTATCAACATAACTTTCAATTATAATCTTCACTTTTTACTACAAATTTTCTTTCTTATCAGATGATGCATAATATCTTGTGCAGAAGCCAGGGAAATTTAGCTGCGTGAACAATTTTCTGGAGCAGGCAACACATACACTTCATAGTTGGTAGCCTTGTATAAATCTGAGAGAAGCATCCAGCTACCGAGTAGCAAGTTGAAGACATTGGAATATTGAACGAACCACAGTTAATAATCTCCCCTCTGTAAGAGATTTAAGTGTTCATCAGATTATCATTGAATAGGAAATTTATTTATTTGATATCATCAACACGGGGCTGTATTCCTTTTTGGAAGTTGAGAAAACGAACTTTCATAAATGGCTAGCAATGAGATTTGATCCCAAAACCTTTACCTACAGTCTTGTATCATATTGAATGATCACTTGCATCTAACAAACTAAACCAAACTTTTTTTGACAGCACAGGAAAACAAAAGTTCAGATTTAGCATATCTAGTTTCTTACAATATTTTGATTGCACATTCATAAAATTAACAGGAAAACAAGGACAGAATTACAAAAAGAAAGTTTTGATTACTTACTTGGATTAACCGAAATAGCTGATACAAGGGAACCATAGTCTCCTCTATTAGGAATTCGCGCAGTCCCTCTGCTAGCCCAGTAAAATCGGATCTCCAAGCTATTATCTGTCACTGTGACATTGAAATGTACAATAACGGGCCTTTTTGCTCCTCGAGCCTTATCTTCGATGTTAAAATCTTTCCAGACTAATTCTTCCTGAGATTGAAAGAGGATCATGAAAACGATACAAGTGATATGGAAACCACTTTTCAAGTTTCACACACTACCTAGCTGTAGAAGAAAAAAAAATATACAAACTACCTGGATATATATATCAAACATCCGCCTTCCAAGACTGTAATATGTATTGTCATTTGTGAAAAGTATTTCAGCAAAGTGCAGGCTCACGTTGTAACTCCCATCCTCCAGGCAATGATGAAAATATGTAAGTGAAAGAGGATTAAGACGTGCTGTACTATACAACTCAGAGAGATTTGTTGTTGCTGTAGTTTTGATAGGACGTGAATTTTGGTAATTAGGCTCATCCATGAAGTCCCCGATGCCAGTAAAGCCCCAATGACTACTACTTAAATATCTTGCAGAATCGCCATACACATCTCCTTGATATATAACTCTTCCATGGCTTTCTTCTACAGTCAAATCATTTCCACCACAATTAACATGTAAAGAACACTGATCTGCCACAAGAAATTATTTTCTTGGTAAAGTACACAATTTCATTAAGGTTTAACAAAATAATGGTAAGTAACTGAAAAGCTTAAATAAATAGCAAATGAAGAAAAAAAAATCTCGTGCATACATAATTGTGAAAGAGAAGGTGAATTCTCCAATTTCCAAACCAAAAATTCCTTCAAGGTTAACGACTTTAGGGCCAAAACAACAAAATATGATATATTTAAGGCTCAACACAACTTCAGTATTTAGGGCAAGACATGGATCTATGAGGAGTGATATCACCCAATAAAAAAAGCATGCTTGGCAAAGCTTAACTTGTTATTAAATGGATCAAACATAATTTTTATCCACACATTTTATAGGATCCACAATTTACTACACACTTATTATTCACAGCTTATAAGCACTTAAAAGTACTACAAAATAATCATGAAGTTTCCAGTAGTAGTTCCTCATAAAATACATTAAGTTCATAAGATGAAGATGAATCTCTGGTATATTGAAGTTGCAGAGGGTAAAAGAGAAGAATGAAAACTTCATTTAGTTGATATTGAAATAAAAGTAAAGCAATAATTCATGTTAAGGGTCCTCAATGTTAATAATATTCCTTAAAAAGCTAATCCAAATCTATTTTTCTACAATGGATTAAAAAGAATAGTGAAATGATATGAAAACAAATTTCTTTCACAAAATTGGTTATACATGGAGCCTATGCAAATTTTTATATTATATCAGCCATTTTTGGTTATGGTTATATATCATTGTTAGAGAACCACGCATAATTAACATCAATAGTATTGAAATCATAAGAATGTCATAACCAAAACTAATTACACATAATGTCAATGGCAATACGAAAGTCTACTTTAACAGTATAAAGAAAAAGAGAACATACATACATCTAGGGCAGGCTATATCCTTTGTACAAGGAAGCATCCGCTGACTGTTGCAGGTTGAGCATGGAAACAGTGATTATAAGATGTTCAGTCCTTGATAAAACTGTTTTGTAACTAGCTCTCTTTCCAGTACTGGCCAGTGTATTTACTAATATCCGAAACAAGAAAATGCATCTTACCTCATGTTCGATGTCAATGAGCTTTTGAACAAGTTAACGTTTCGATTCCTGCTAAGGAAAATTAGGCAGCAACAAGTTATAAACATCATAAAAATTGCATGCTAACTAAATCACAGAAGACGAAATAAATAAATTTGCTAACGTGTTTTCTTGACAAGCAGGTTGCTCTGGGCCTTGCAAAGTAAAATTATTGTAAGAAAGATCACTGCACAGAGTGAATAAAGTTGGGTGTCATCATCTAGATAATTCAAATTACACATATATACAACCAAGCATCTTATAAGTTGCGATTGATGGCAACAAATGAAGATATTTAGTTGGCCAATATATGCAGGAAGAAAAAAATGGTTAATCTTTTGCCGGGAGCTACAATATAATTTAGAGAAAAACCTTGCATATACAGCTAAAAGATAAATCATGTAGCAATGCTATAAAAACACGTTCACCTTCCAAGTAAATTCTTTTGGCCTCTGAATTTGACTAGTTGATGCTACAGTGCAAATAAAAATGAACATTCATCTAGGGATTGGTTACATGAATCACCATTTGTCGTTATGTCGACCCAATTCTATGATAACTGAAATGTCCATTCACATAAAAAATAAAAAATATTCAACCTCATCAGGCCATATTAATTATAGTCTGCCTCTCCCTTTCATAACATGTTCTAGGCTCTAACACTATTTATATAAAGCATTAGGGAGAGACCATTAACTGTTAACATGACTTCTTTATATCTATGTCATGCAAGAACTGACCCAACCACCTGAGTAGTATTTGCCACAATGAAACTCAACGTGACACCTCTCTTTGTTGGTGTATATCATCATTTTTTATTTTATTCTATTGTAGCATGGCAACATGTCTATCTTAACATCCTCATTTGTGTTGCATTCATCTTATAGACATATTGTCCATTAACAGTCCAACATTTAGTCCGGTAAAGCATAAATAGTCTAGAAATCATATTTCAAACTTACTGTTTAACTTGATAGTTATCTTGCGATCACGTGAAACCCGTGTAACATTTCTTCATTTCGTTCTATGCACTCTAGTCCTATACATTACATTCTCCTCAAATGCTGTTGTACTTTTGGAACTTCACAACTCTCCAGAATTTCTAGTGAAATTGCTATTCTTACTCTGACTCAAGAAGAATATACATACTTCTTAATTCTACTTAACTAACACCTGCAACTCAGAAATTTTAACTTACAATTATACCCCTCCTAATTTCATCAACTAAAGTTATATAACGCATGAACCAAGATACCTAATATTGGATATGTCTCATTAGTTCATTTATAACTTATAGCAAAAGGATATGGACTTACGGTGGTCTCTTGATGCAAGCTTACTGCTGCCTCATTGGATATCACATTCACACTACTCTGTCACATCCTTGATAATACTGATGTATCAAATTTAAACTCCATTATTCTATAGTACACACCATGATCACTTGGCTCTCTACTAGTAATCTAGAAATGAAAAGAAATTATATGCAAAATATCCAGCAAGTTTAGTAACAGATAATGAACATACATATTGCTTCCATCCTTCAAGATTGTATCAGGTATATTTCCAGTCAGCATGTTGCCAGTAACGAACCTGTTTATGGAAACATCATAGTGAGTACATATGTAAAGCAGTGTCCTGTTTATTTCTACAGTCATGCTTATGAGCAAATCCAAACCAACCAAATGAAGCAAAAAAATGAAATTCGAACTCACACAACTATCAGTTTTCTTGCAATGTCTCTTGAAATCTCCCCCTCTAACTTATTGAAACTGACATCCCTGTTCATATTTTAAAACACAGAGATAATTAAGAAAAGAGACATTCTATAGACATGTCATGAATTTTGCGAAGTAACTAGATGGAAGATGGGTAGAGGAGAAAGAATGGAAAAACAGTCTTTTAGCATCCACAGTAAGGAATTTCCAGCATGAGCAGAGCTCTCTTTTCAACGAGAATCATTCTCAATATAGCAGGATTCACGAAACTAGTGGTCAACTTTGCTTCTGTGGAATCGGGCTATAGTCCAGATACCCAATGAGCGGGAGATAAAAAGGGGGCAAGAAGAAGTCCAGTAGCAGATTTGGTTATTTAAATAATGCCAAAGAAATGTTGACCGTCATGCAGCCAAGAGACAACTGTGCAATTATACAAACTAGGAAGCTAAATATTTAATTTGAATTGTAGTTTTATTACTCACAGCATGTGCAGAACTCTAAGTCTCCAAATATATCGAGGGATTCTTCCGTAAATGTTACAGTTTCTCAACACCCTAAATCAAAGAATAGAATATTTTAGTAACAGAGAGCCTGAAGGATAAGCAAAAAGACTTTCCACATGAAATATGTATTCAGCATACAGGGTCTCTAGGTCTGTACTACTCCTCAGCATAGGAAATTCCTCAGGCGGCCCTTTTATTTCACTAATTCTCCTGTATTAGGAAATTCAATAAAAAAATTGTAAGCAAAGAACTTGCAGAAAGAGAAAAAAACAAATACGTAAAATGAAAAGTCAACAGACAAATCAAACATCTGGTATATACTTACAAATCTGTTAACGCAGTCAGGAGAGATATTTGTGAAGGAATTGGCCCCTCTAATCCACTCGCGTGCATTTCTCTTCATTGAGCATTTAAACAAAAAATATATATTGTGACAAAATAATTCATCTATCTAGTCTTTAAAATACAATTTTTCATGAATAAAAACCTTACAGTTTGCTAAGCTGTTTCCAGTTCTGAATAAGGTCAGGTATTGGTCCTCTTAAGCTGTTATCACTTACCCTACTGCAGTATAAAAGGAAGCATTGTTTGAAGATGGCAAAAAAAAAATAAAAAAATTCTATGGTGAATTTCCAGAGATAGAATATATGCTTACAAATCATTTAAATTTGTTAGTCTTGAAAATGATGTTGGCAGATTCCCAGTCAATTGGTTCGAGGACAGTATCCTGTAATTAATTATTGGTGTATCAAACTAAAGTCTAATGTTGTTTTGTCCGCCAAAAATATAACATTTAAAGCATTTAATCCAAAAGAAATGTGAGATCTTACAGAGTTTCCAAGTTTATTAACTTCCCAAGTTCTGATGGAATAGCCCCTGAGAATTGGTTTGCTTCAAGGTTCCTGATAAAATGTCGCAATTAAATTGCTTGAAGTGAAGAGTTGGACACATTTTTATCTTTTCTAAAACAATTACACAAAACATAGGGAATTACAATAATAGTTATTCCAGAAGTGATGAGAAGTAAACAACAGATCTATCCCCCTTTTCAAGATAAATGAAAAACTAATAAATTAAAATGTCAATTGCTGTCAAATAGCATCAATCATAGTGTTACCACCCTAATATTTTACCCAATTACCAGACTCCAATAACCAAATGTGTCACTAAAAGAAGTAAGGAAGTTCAATAGAAAGACATACATGTAAGTGAGATTTGTCATGTTTCCTAAATACTTTGGTATTTCCCCTGATAACCGGTTTACAAGAACAGAGCTGCACCAAAATTCTCGCATTACAATTAGTTCTCAAAGAAATCATTAACTATTATAATTAGGCCACAAGATGGAGCATACATGGAATTCAACTGTTTTGTAGCCCATTCTTGTGGGATTGTACCAGTGAGGAGATTGTAGGCAAAATCACTGTAAGCAAAATGTTAATTAAAATGTACAAGATGTTTTCCCACATGGCATAAACCATTAATTCTATATAAACCAGTTTAAACGCCTCTTACATAAATTTGAGGTAGGGGAGCTGCACAAGTTCAGGTGGAAGAACTCCAGGAAGATCATAACTCTTTATGACACTGCAAAAAGTGGATATGGAATTAAATATTTAGCTAAATATCAATATACGAGAAAACTTATATCGGGACTACATCTCTTCTAACATAAAATGGGAATGCAGACTAAATATAACAGGCACTGCCATGGAATAGTATGAAATTCGGGCTTTTTTGTCTTGACAAATAATATAAATAACATCTTCAAACACTATGAAGCTTTCGTCCAGTTATAAAAATGAATAGTGTTAAAATGTATCATACTTGTTGCTTCTCTTGACAATGAGGAACTACCCAAACCCTTATGAACCAGCCAGTGTCCTCTAATAACTAATTTGTAATGCAACATACTAACTTTCCACTCAAAGCAAGACAAGGACGTTATGCTTAATTCATCATACATGGTCCATTCCACAAGTCCAAGCTCATCACGGTATTAGTAGCTTCCGGAGGCATTACGAACCAGTTATACTACTCACACAACTGAGGTAAGGTGTAACAGAGCCATAGTAGGTCAACAATTTTCTTTGTGTCCTGAATTAGTTAGACATTGCTACACCTTCGGTGATGTTATGTACTCTGTTGCAAGATAGCCATTGGATTCATGCCATTTTTAGCAAGTCATGATCACAAACTTCCTTATTCCATTCTTATATGAACGGAGATAGATTGGCAGCCAACTAACTTCTGAAAACACGAAGTTATTACAAGTAGTCATTCATTACATTATTTGGTCGTCACTCCATGTATCATTTAATAAATAACATATAGCATTAGGTCAATTTACCATGTTTTAAGGCAATCAAAGCAAAACAAGGATGACATGTTTACTAGAATTGGTTGCACCCACTTCAATTAATTGTTCGAGTCGGAGGCTAGAGCCTCTGCAATGTGGATGCGACCCATTGCTAAATTTGTATTTATTTAGGATTTTGGGGTTTCAGAGACTTTATTTCTGTTTGTTGTACTCCAAGATTATATTGATTAAACAACATAAATCTTGTGTTACTTTGCGTTCTTTACGTACTTCTTTTCATGGTTGATGAACTTTAGAGGCCAATACTAATCAACATAGATCAATCAAAGGACCACAGTGTGGATTTAAAATGAACATGCAAGGAGATAAAGAGTATTTGATTATATTGTAAAATGCTTTTAGCAAATAGTAATAACAATACCGAGATCTCAAATTTACTAAAGTACTGGCTAAGATATCAAAAGAGACAATAGAGCTTCTGCATACAAGAGAAATAAATAGGAAGGGCTAAAGAGGAATAAACTATACATTTTCGTGACACGGCAGACAGTGTGGTTATTAAAGTTGCAGTTACATTCAACATAACCCTCAGATCCACTTGGTGGCGATGGTGTGATAGCCTCCACTTCACATGTATCAGCATTGAAGCTCCAGTTTGTTGCACCCATTGTAGTGGCAATTTGTCGAAGAACATTTACTAAGAGAGAACAGTGGGAATATTATAAAACAATGCAATAAGCCAAGCCTTTGATCGAAATAAGTATCAATCAATGAATCATTTATTGCATTAACCCAACTTGTAATGGAAATAAGTAAGAAACAATCAATCGCGGATTGCATGAGACCAACTTGGGAAAATGGCCTCTAAATAAGTGAATCTCAACTTCGTGAATGAGTTCATGAGTTAACGATAAAGGTTAAAGGCCTAGACTATTTGTTTCTGACTCAATTATTAAAAGGCTAGTGAACAGAAAATTTCAAGGGATGTTCCTAATTTTAATGTTAAGATAGATGTTTATCAAATTTCGACTAACTGTTGAGAGTTTTCATCGTTTCTATTTCTATTTTTTGCCCATTTGGGAATCTCTATTTCATCAAATTCCTCCAGCAACTTCACTTAATGTTTCATGATGATGATTATATACGTAGTTGGGAAAGTAGTAAATTACTTCTTCTCAACCAACCCAAACTATATTTCCAGGAACTGCTTTCCACAACATTTTAGAGTTCAGGCCTCTTAATTGCAAACTTCTCTCTATTTACTAATATTTTATTCTTTTTGTTCTTGAGCAACGGTAACATAAAATAAAAATTAAAGACTGAAAGGAGGAATTTAAAATTAAATTAACACTGACCAAGAACCGGCAAAATAACTGCATATTTTCACAAAGCAAGAGGGAAAACTCAATCTCACCTTCTTCTCGCGGCACCTGAGCCTCCGCAAATTTCAGCAACCTGAAACAACAAACTGCAAGAATCCACGAGACAACGGTGCTTCTGCGCAGCATCTTCAACTTCAAGCATCAAAGTTCAAGCACTTGGATACATAAATGCATTAATATTGTATAAATAGTAGATTATCACAATGTGTAAATTTTACTGTTAGAATTTGATCCTATGCATAAACTGTCGGTCGAATATGAGCCGGTGTGAAAACCGGGTAGATATAGAGAAAACGGAAAGAATCACGGTTCAGACAGGGACCCAAAGAAATTTAATCTCACTATTATTTCTTTTTATAAATATAAATAATTTACAAAATTGTCAAAGGGTAACTTAGAATTTTTATTTTTTGACATTTTATCGAATCTTATACAAAAATGTTTGCCTTTTAATGTTCATGCTTTTTCGCGAAATTTTCAACAAATGAGTTGTCAACCTCGTGTTCGAACATGAATTATTCTACGTTGTCAGAAAAAATTGTCATCTTCATTACAAAATGTGACATGATATTTTGTCATTAGATTGTTTAAAAAAACAGTCAACTTTTATATCAAATTATCTGTTGTCATCACTGCATCTATCATATAGGTGGACAATAATTTCTGACAAACTGGCTTAACTCCTAAAACATTCGTAAGCAAGGATGAATCCAGGATCGAATGATAGACCGGATTAATACGTTAAAAAAAAAAAAAAAATTNTATAAATAATTTACAAAATTGTCAAAGGGTAACTTAGAATTTTTATTTTTTGACATTTTATCGAATCTTATACAAAAATGTTTGCCTTTTAATGTTCATGCTTTTTTGCGAAATTTTCAACAAATGAGTTGTCAACCTTGTGTTCGAACATGAATTATTCTACATTGTCAGAAAAAATTGTCATCTTCGTTACAAAATGTGACATGACATTTTGTCATTAGGTTGTTTAAAAAAACAGTCAACTTTTATATCAAATTATCCGTTATCATCACTGCATCTATCATATAGGTGAACAATAATTTCTGACAAAGTGGCTTAACTCCTAAAACATTCGTAAGCAAGGACGAATTCAGGACCGAATGATATGCCAGACTAATACGTAAAAAAAAAAAAGAAAAATCACATATGATTTTTTTTCTAACTAAAAATAGATTCAGTGGGTGGGAACTGGGTCGAGCTACAGCCCATCCGTCCCTGTAAGCAAGCAAGAAAAATACACACAAAAATGATCAGTTTGCATTTTAACTCTTGTGGCACCTTTTCCTTTCGAAATTCCTTAATCAAGTTTTATTCCTTTAAGAAACTAATGTGGTCGTGTTTTATTCTTTCTTTTATTTTTTGCTAAAATGGCTGGCTGCTAAAGTCATAAATAATATAGGGAGAATATCTTTTCCTTATCAATAATATCTGCCCACGTTTAAAAAATTACACTAACTTCACATATAACTAGTTTTGATAATACATAAAATGTCCTCGTGAATAAAAGATGATTTTTTTTTTTAATAATTAGTTGCAATTTAATTTGTGCCTTTAATAATAACTTAAAAGACTTTTTGCATGCACAATTCTAAACATGCAAGCTAGTAAAATTTTAAATATAAAATTTGGTAAAGAATTTGACAATAATTATCAATAAAAAATCATATTTATAAACTAAAACAAGATTTAAAAATATGTACTTTTACAATTTGTTTAAAATTTGTTTATCAACAATTAATTTTAACTATTTATTTATAGGACCCACAGTTTTTATTAACTGTTCAATTACGCGTTTCATCAACTTTTGTCAGAATCAATTAAAAATCTGGTATTCAGCGTAGCTAAAAGATAGTATACATTAGTTCATTAAAACATTACACACTTTTAATATTTGATTATTTGATATTTGATTGTACATATATAACTCGTCTAAGGACTAAGATAATATATTCAGAATATTAATAGTCAATACCACTTGGAACTAAAATAATTAAATTTTATATGACTAATTTAAACTAAATCGAATGAGCTTTGTGTATATAACGTTTCAATTTATATTATTATAGTTTACTTTGAGTGCATTAACTTCAACTAATGATCAGGGGTGGACCTACATGAAGTCCAGTGGGGGCCGTCGCCTCCATTCAATTTTTAGATTTCCTGATTTTTTCTTCAAATTTTTTTAGCTTTTTTGTCCAAGTTTTTTTAGATTTTCAAATTTTTTTTCTAAGATTTTTTGGTTTCGCCACCACTGAACTTTTTTTCTGGGTCCGTCCCTGTTGATGATAGAAGTTTTCATATTTTTCTTAGGGCAAAAAAAAAAAAAAAGGGAAATATGTCCCGTGGCTCCACCCCGTATATGACTCAAAAATTAGTGAGTCC